CGTTCTGTGATTCTGTGGTTCTGTGATTTTAGTAATGGGCTAGAAAAAGTAGCAGATTAGCACTTATCAAATAGTACTTACAAAATTATGTACTTCCAAATATCACAGCAAAATAGGCACCGACTGCAGATTTTAAACATAAGGAAAAGCCTTTTCCCCTTATTTTAGCTAGAGAAGAAAGTGTACTTGTGTTTATTCACTTTCCTGTTCAAGTTCTTCCCCCACATTCACTGCTACTACAAGGTTTATCAACAACCACGTATCATCCCCATTCTCCCCTTGGACAGATCAATCATTCCACGTCTTCCCAGGCAAACCCTCCTACAGACGGCTGTATGTCTTGTATCTATGCCATTAAATGGCCCACCTTGCAGCTTGAGGCATAACTGCTAAAAGCTAAGAGAGAGTTACCGAGGCCATTGACTTTTGACTCATACCTTGGTTGAAAGCCCTTACAGTAAAGAGCAGGTCTTCTTCCGTGCCATAAATCTGCATAGGAATTCATTGAGTAGTTCATAGCCTCGGCATCCCACAGACACGTTTACAAGGAGATCAACAAGGAGATACCACCATTTATTTGAATGACCAAGGTTTGCAGAACTTTAAAAATGAAAAATACTGCCTCTTTTGATGTTATATGTGTCCAAGAAGATGCTGCTTCTGCTCTTTGTCCTTTTGTGCACCTTTAAGTGATAGCAAAGTAAGTGGAAGGACTTGTTTATCTATGGGACAAGAAGGGCTTTTATAGTTGGAGTTCAAATTATACAGACCTGGTACTAGCAGTCCATAAATATTTCTAACAATATTATAGGTGTTTTAGTATATTCAATAAGAGTAAGCATGAAACAAAAACTACCACTCCAGTTGCCTCCTGGGATAGTACAGTTTTGAAGAAGGAGTAGGTTGAAGCAGCTTGCTTTCAAAATATGAACACGTAGGTCCCTGGCTCAGCAATAGATCCCTGAATGCCTCAGTGCATCCCTGAATGCCTCGGAAGGGGGACAGGTAAAGGAAAAGGAGATGGACCAGCTGATGTAAGGAGATGATTCCATGAAGCACATTTTCTGGAGAGGAGGTGGAGCTGAAAGAGCTGTAGAGGTCCCATTAGCCTTGACTGCTGGAGCACACTTGCACCGTGCTGCCTTTCAGCAGGGGTCACTGCGTGGTTCCTCCAACCGCACTTGGCCATCACCCATGCGGAGGATGGGCTGGAAAAGGGCCAAAGTCAACCCTAAATTCAGAGGTGTGAGGATGCCAGCATATCGTGTGTGCCAGAAGTGCCAAGTTCCAAGGCAAGAGCTCCAGACAGAAGCAAGTTTGCTTTTGGTTACTGATATGTGGTTTATTTTGGGGGGAAGGCTCACTGCGTTAACATGACACTCCCACCTGTCCCTAAGTAATTGTGTTTCCTCGGTGTGGATGCTACATATTTGGCTGCCCACCATTCCTACAAGAAATGCTGAGAATTAAGAAATTTCTGAAAAGCAATGACCCTGAGTACAGAACATTTACACCAGATGGCTTGTTAACATAGCTCCTTCAGCCTTGTCCACTACAACTCAATATTCTTCTGGAACAGAAACATGAGAAAGAAGGGACATTGTTAGATCGTATAACTGAACATCTTAATGAAACAAAAGTATTAAGAAAGAAGATAATGGAGCATCACAGAGAAAGATAAAAAGACATTTTTTTAACTTTCTCATACATGAGGATAAATTCAATCTTAGTGTTACTGATGTATAGTAGGAAGGCTGTCATAAGTGGGATGAAAATATCATTTGTAACTAGTCTAAGAAAGGCTCAGCAGAAGAAGGGATGCTCTCCATCGGTTGTGTCCCCAACCACTAGCAAGTGCAGAATAGGATGGCAATTTAATCAAGTCTTCCTGGGGTGGAAAGAGGATTTCATAACTGTGGGTAATTTCAATAAACATTTTGCTTTCAGTGCTCTTCTTGGAATTCATTCTTAATTTCCTCATTGCTCAAAATATTGCATGTAATGTTGGAGAGTTTTGTGCAGAAAACCTCTGGAGAGACAGAAAGGAATGATTATTTTACTATTACTGTAATGCAGCAGCTGATGGACAAGGGACCCTACTGTGCTATGTTACCTGGAGACACTGAACGAAACCGTGATCCTGCTCCAGAGAGTTTGCAATCTAAATATAAGGCAAAAGGTAGCAGCTAGATATGAAAAAGGGTTGTGTGCATACCTGCACAAACATGGACATTAGCAGGGGAAGAATATGGAATAATACGAAAGGCAACAACCTTAACATTCCCCGTTGTTATGTCTTTGTAAGAAACACATGAAAATACAGTTTTGAAGGGGAATTTCAAAGAAGATAATGAGGTTTTCTTTGGCTATTTGTGTGAAGTCCGATCCAGCAGAAGAGGAAAAAATACGAAGGTGTTCCTTTGAAAAATCTAAAAAGTGGTTCGTGCAGTTTGGGATCAAATGCTAGTCACAGGAGGCAGTGCATTTCTGCAGAGTGCATAATAGAGAGCCTCTGAAAGGTTTTACAAATGAAGAGAAAGGCAGGTGGGGTTGATGAAGTATAGAAATGGAAGAGGCAGGCTGAACTGATTTAAGACGTCGTTATACCACTCCAAGCTGCTTTGAATAAATGTGACGGCAGAGTCCCTTCACTTCTCTTCTCTTGCCTTGCACTGCTGTGGGATGGATCTGATGCTTCACAGCTCAGAGCCCTTAAACAGAAGGAAAACTAACCCAGCTGAAGTTTTCAGTCAGTTTAACACCTCAAACCGGCTTGCTAGGCAAGCACTTATATCAGTGTAAAGCATAAGAAAAAGGAGCATGTAGCTGTAGTCAGATGCCTTTTTGGCAATTAGTTATCACAGTGGCTCCACTGCAGCTGTATTATACAGAAAGAACGTGAAGGACTGGGAGCTATCACTTGAGAGATCTGCGTTTTATGGTTTGGGTTATCAGTGGCTCCAGCTCTCCATCACACCCTTCTGTGTGTGGGAGAGCAGAGGCTCACACCTCAGTCTGCTGTTCCCTCTGTTTCCACAGACAAATGATGGTTTTGGCAGAAAGAGGGAGTCCTGCCCATCCCACCATCTCCAGCTGCATACTCCTATTTTACTCCCTTCTGCTCATCCTAGAGTTGGGATCAGAAAACAAATCTGGTTGAAAACTAACCCTTTCCCTTTCCCCCATCGCCAGGCGAATGGTGCTGCTTGATGCAAGGAAGGGAGTAGGAAGAAGTGATGCCCCTAATGACTGTAACACTAATTTCATAGAATCACAGAATCACAGAATGTTAGGAGTTGGAAGGGACCGCGAAAGATCATCCAGTCCAACCCCCCTGCCAGAGCAGGATCACCTAGACCAGGTCACACAGGAAGGCATCCAGGCGGGTTTGAATTTCTCCAGAGAAGGAGACTCCACAACCTCTCTGGGCAGCCTGTTCCAGTGATCTGTACCCCTCACAGTAAAAAAGTTTTTCCTCATGTTCAGATTGAACTTCCTATGCTCCAGCTTGCTCCCATTGCCCCTTGTCCTGTCACTGGACATCAGAGAGAAGAGCCTGGCTCCTTCCTTCTGACACTCGCCCTTTACAAATTTATAAACATGAATGAGGTCACCCCTCAGTCTCCTCTTCTCCAAGCTAAAGAGACCCAGCTCCCTCAGCTGCTCCTCATAAGGGAGATGCTCCACTCCCTTAATCATCTTTGTGGCTCTGCACTGGACTTTTTTTATGGATTTTGAATTTATATCAGTTAAAATGATCTGGTGCCTCTGCCGTCTCAGGGCAGAAAGGGGCGCATCAGATAAGGGTCACAAAGATCCTACTTACCAAAACTGTCTGCATAGTTGAAGGAGATAGCCTTGCTTACTGAACTCAGTAGGAAGTTCCATCTCAGCTGAAAATCCGATGCCAGTTTCCAAAATTCCTCTTTACTCCTGCTTGGCTGCAGAAAGGGAAAAAAAATCACTTTACGATACAGTTGGTTGAAATAATTTCTTACTGTGTTGCAGAGTATTTCCTGGACAAACTGCATACAATGGTTGAACAAAGCCAGGGCTTTTTTTGTTAGAATCCTAAAAAAAAAAAGGTTGAAAGGGATCTTTGGACATCATCTAATCTAACCTCTCGCTCAAAGCATGGCCAGCTTAGTTCAGGCCTTGTCCAGCTGAGTTCTGAACACCTCCAGTTTGGAGATTTCACAGCCTTTCTGGTTAACCTCTTCCCATGCTTAGCTACTCTCATGGTAATATTTGTTCTTTTCATTTATTGGAAATTTCTTTGCTGCAACTTCTGTCTATTGCCTTATGCCCTATAACTGTGAACCTCCAGAAAAAGTCTGGTTCCATCTTCTCTGTACCATCCAATTTTGCTTTATTAGGGACTGTTATAACATACACATCTATGAAGTGAGAGCAGATACTGAAACGGCTCAAGTGGATATATGCACAGAAATGTGCTTGTAGTTGTTTGCACAGATGGAATTTTTATATGCCAATTAATTCCCTCTTTTTCTGCAGCATGCCTAAATTGTACTTATGCAAATCTGCAGTCTGGTCAGGTTGCTAGTATACAATGTAGCTCCCTTAGACTCGTAACAGTCAGCATGTAGCAGGATAAATGATGTGATCACTCATTCTTTGCTGAAATTATTAAACTATTGTTATACCTGAATGATAAAAGCCTGGAGATTTGAAGACACACAGTTCAGGAGAATCTGAATATCTATGGAAGGTACCAGCAAAGACATTATGTCGTTCAAACCTACGAAATATAGAAGGGAGGTCATTAAGTGAAGTGATTAGCTTGCTTTTTGGTTTGTTTCTGCAGGTTTTAGCATTATTTTTTCTTTTATCTCTAGCTTAAAATATATGAAGACATATGTTTATAGCATTTTGATTAATGTAATTATGCTATTACTTTAATGAGGAATAGTAGCCTACTTTGAAATCAGTCAGAATTCACATTTATGGCCATTTCCACCATATGTGCACTGACTTAGTTATCATGGCAAAGGTGGCAAGAACAAACACTTCCAGTGGGAAAGCTGGAATTTGGTTATATGCAGTACCAACTTGTCTGAGATTTCATGTGTTGAAAAAAAAATTAAGCGTGGTTTATCTGTTGACAGGGAGAAAACAGTTTAAAACAATAACAGAAAATGCAGAATATTCTGTATACCAACAGAAATATAGATAACGCTGCCACATATCAGTGCAGCTGTTCCCCCAAAAGAGTGGAAGCTACCACCCACTGCCAAAAGGTACATCACTATGGCTCCTCTCTGAATTTATACCCTTCTGAGACATTTTCCTTCAAGAAAACATATGGATAGGGTCTGTGAAACCTTGCTTATTATAAATAACAGTCTCGAAAAGCAACAAAAACAGGCAATGCAATAAATCCACCTTGGAAAGAGTAAGATCATCATTAATATAACGAGCAAATGCAATAAGAGCATTCTGCGTTGGTTTTAAGATGTATATAAATATTATCTAAACAGTTCTCCTGTGAAGCAGGCAAATTATTATTCCCACTGAAAGCAGTCATGGAAAGGCTGTGGCACATCCCTTGGTGGTGGGCCAGCAACAAAGAGCTGAGGTTTTCCCCCATCAGTTCTGTGCACACCCTTGTCCAGCTTGCCCCTCTCTTGCTGATAATTAAAATGGCAGCCCATTAATCTAAAAATCAACTTGCCATTATGTTCCCGTCCCTTTTCATTAAGTTGGCAAATGCACGATGTCATGGCTGCATGCACACTGTGTGTTTTATTGTTTACAGCAGCACATCGATTCCACAGGCCGCAATACGGCAAAAAGACATGAAAGCTGAAAGGCCAATAGCCCTTGTCCAGTTCACCATACAGTATTTTGAAATCTGGCCACAAGAAGTGATTTTGTGTACTTTGATTAATAGCTGAGGAAAATGTGAAATGCAGCTTTTGGGAACTTCTTTATTTTTTTTGTCAGAGAAAAGGATAAAAAATGAATACCCCTGTTTGTCAGCCGCCTTCTAGAAGATACATCATTTAGTACCACAAACCCCACTCCTGCTGCCATAGAAAGCTTTAAGAGAGAGTCAGAGCGGAAAGCCTTTCATTCTTTTTAAAGTCAAAAGGATAATGTTACATGCTTCATTCTCAATTTTATCGGCCCTTTTCCAGTACTTTGGGTTACAGTAAGACTGTAATTCCCATTAGGGCAGGCGCCATGAATAAACAAGAGGAAATGCTGGAGCTTTAACAATGGCAAGCAAGGGCTTAAGAGGATAGACAAAATATAGCAAAAAAGTATTACATTTGAGTTCTAAGCTGTTCTCCATCTCCTCTGGGCTCCTAAACTTCTTTTGAAAGAGGTTTCCAGGCACATCCAGGAATCCCTGATTGATGACAGCATGCAAGTCTGATAGCAGAACAGTGACTACGCTGTTGTTGTTCAAGATTGTTCTCACTGTCTATAGATAATAAGAAAACAGTTAATGCCTTTCATTTTCTCAAGCCCTTAGCTCAGTCAAAAAGCTTCCCTTATTCAATACTAGACTGTATATAACCAATCTCCAAATTGCAAAGAAAAAAATAAATCAAAGGAGATGAATCTTAAGTTGTCTTCAACAGTTCTTTTGTTCTGGGAGATGTTATTTTCAATGATTCTCTGTGTTGTCTGCGATGGAGCAGACAAGGCTAACATGCTTGAAGTATCTGGGCAATTGCCTGGGCAATTGCTTTTGCCTGGAGTTATTATAGTTATGCCAAATAATGGTATTTTGTCTAAAACATGGAATGGTGTATCAGGGCCAACTTTCCCTTGATGTTACCTGTTTTAGTACTTGTTTCAATTAAATTCAAAGGCAAACTTTCTCAAGTTGACCAAACCTTTGAGAAGGTAACAGTAACATTAGAAATATGATGTTAGTTAAAATAATATTAGTTGGGATTTTACCCCATTTATCTGCTTATGAGTCATTTGTGAATGAATCTGGCTTCATAGTTGTCCCAAAAATCATTACTCACAAAAACACTGCAATTTTCAGCCTAACATTTGATCTTCATCTCTTCACTTTCTAAAAATTTAATTGCTATCAAACAGTATTGTTTCAGATTCTCAACTAAATTATGAACACAGTGAAGGAAACTAAACCTGAAGCCATTGAAGTTTGTTAATCCATACACTTAGTCTCTCATTTCCGTATGACATCAGTAAGATCCTAAAGCCTTTGTTGAATTTTGGGTTTTTATATGAATAAAGAATGTCCAGTTTGGCCTTCCAGAGGAAAAAAATATATAAAAAATAATCGGCAAAATTTCAGTGTCCATAAACATTTTAACAAATCCCATTCACTGGGTGCTTACCATGACCCCAGAAGCAGCTGTGAACGTGGCTGCCTGTTTGTTTGCAAATGCAAATCCCAATCTGGCTATTTTTCTTTTTCATTATTTTGCTAGCTTTACTAAAGTACCAAAAGCACTCTGATTCTCCTTTGGTAATACCCTTCAGCTAAGTTAAAGAGAAGTATATTTTTTATTTTTACTTTCCAGTGTCAGAAGAAAAGCTGCTGCTTGCAAGAATACAACAACCCAAAGGCTGGGAACTACCAGGGGCTACCACCTGACTCCATGCCCTGGTGTTTTAGACTATTCACTATACTGAATATAATTTGCTAAATGACTGAGAGCCAGCTCTTACAACACTTAAATACAGCTTATGAGAGGCAGGAATCAGCCCCAGGAAACGACAAGTATCATATTCACATTCCTTTCTAGCAGGAAAGTTGCACCTTTTTACGCTCTAATGATTTCTGCATGTCCACGTAGTAGCATCTGTCAGCTTGCTTTATCTACACATGATGGGAAAGTTACTTTTTTTTTCTTCTGAATGCTGACCTTGCCAAAATTGTTCCTAATTCTCACCAGGTGGCTAAATTACTGCAAAGTACTCTACAAGGGATGGTGTGGTTACACCTTTCAGAGGCTGCAGCTGCACAGCTGCTCTGTAGTACTTCTCATTAGGAGCACTCTCACCTGCTTTGACCATCCATCTCCAGTTGAAATTCCAGGTGTGTTTTAGCCAGAGAAAACTGAGAAGGATTATTAGAAATATCAAATGACTCTTATGTGAGGAGATGAGATCAAGTTCAGCTTCAGATAGAAATAACTGAGGAAGGATGTGATGGAACTTGACAGGGAGAATTGCATGAAGAAGGGTAGAAATTTTAAAATAATAAAATATTTTTGCACACAACAGATAATCAAACCCTGGAACTGACTACCCCAAGATGTTGTGGATGCCAAAATCAAGCTGTTAAAGCCAAGATGTAGATACAACTTCCATCTCAGAATGCTGGGAGCCAGGAGAGTACTAAGTGGGAGATCACTTGCTCTATCCATACCCACTTCATGTGAGTATCTGATGAGAAATGGGATATGAGTCCACAAAAGCCTAGGACCGGATCTGACTGACTAAAACACACAGTGGTCCTTTCTGAGGGGCATCCACCTCTCCATGAAGCATCTGCATGTTGGTCACAAGCTGAAAATTTTAGACACCTGTGCTGTTCAGCTGACCATTTTCTGGTGTCTGTGTGACAGGGGGATGCATTTGCAAAGGAATATTTTGACACTGTTCATTTCCTACCCTTTTTTCGTTAAAGCCTAGTATCCATGGCTTTGGTAAGATCTCTAACAGAAGTCCTAATAGAGGCTATGAGACCTCTGAAAGACTATGGGGATGCTTATTTACAAGACTTACATAATTCCACTTATTGAATTTATAATTTTTGAATTGTGATGGGAGTAATTATCAGGTACACTGGAATTCCTTTGCCCTTCCTTTGTATCTTAGAGGCTCAAGAAAAGGTACAGATATCTACTTGTGACAACAGTGCCAAGATCTTGTCAGCGTGAACAAGAACTAGGCTCAGAATGTGCTCAGCTGTAAGGGGAGATGTGACCCAGATCCTCAGGTCTGCAAGGTTCACTTTGTGACGGTTAGATGGTGTAAAGGGGATGTAGAGGAGTCAGAAGCTGCTGCTAGGAAATTCCCCACAGCTAGGCTGAAATTCTCTTGCTCTGAATCTCGGTGGTGTAAATTCAATGTTGACTCTCTGCAGCTTTTCTGCACGTTGGGACCAGGCAGGGAAGAAGAAAAAGCTGCAGCCAGGCCCTTGACATCACGGCTTGAGCACAAGAAGAATGATGTGAAGTCAGAGAACATGAATTAGGGCATAGCTGGCACTTGCAGTCTCGCTGGATCATGTCCTTCGATGCATAAGAAGCATGGTTTAGGAGCACGTGAAGCTGAGCTCTGCAAGTATTATGTATTTCCAAAGGCTTCTGCAGTAAATGGGAACTGCGAGTGCTCAGCGCCTCTCAGAAATCAACACTTTGCCTGCGTTAGTGCATGTTTGTACATTATTATAATGTTTTAAAACTTTTAAAAATCTTTTTTTAAAGTGAAGTGTGCCATTTGTGTGTTGCTGGTGATGAGTTTTCCCAGAAAGAGAAGTTAGGTTTATTAAGGAGGAATGTGACGCTGCTCTGTGGTTCGTGAAGCCACAGTTCCCATCCTTCCTCCCCTTTATTGTGGGGACACAATGTAGTGATTTAAGCCAGGTGGCATGTTGGGACAATCTGGTACTTGCAGTTTGAAGAAGAGGAGACAAGGTACCACCTGTTCTCCTCTGCTTTATTCTCTATTCATGACCTGTCTGTTCTGCTGTGGCCTGGACCATCTCAAAAGCCAAGGTTTTTGAAGTATACAAGGACATGAAGGGAAGGAAGGCTGCAGGGAGGGTACAACCCCTCATAATGACAGAGTACTGAATAAGCTAATGAAACAATTTCCCTCACGGTGTTCAAAGCGTTAAAAATGCAGCTCTTGGATGCATTTCCTTTGTCATTGTAGCTGAGAAGAGTGATGGGAGGTGTCCCTGTCCATGGCAGGGGAGTTGGACTAGATGATATTTAAGGTCCCTTCCAACCCAAACTGTTCTGTGATTCTGTGATTCTATAATGATACTGTAAAGCAAAAAGCAGGCAGGCGTATTAATTGTTGTAGAGATTTTTGTCTCTTTCATCCCAAGGAAAAAAAGCTAGTCTGAGTGATGACCCTGAGGAGGAAAGTTCAGAGGATGCTTCCCTGCAGCACTCCTTCCAACACTGTCCAGTCAGAGGATGGAGAAGGTTTTGCCACCTGATTCCTGGGAGTCATGAAAATGATGAGGGTCTTACAGACCTCATAGCCTGCTCCCTGACCACGCAGCCTTTCTGCAGCTGGCATATCAGTGATTTCCCTTGTGCAGGCTGCTGTAGCACTCATCGGAGTGGTAAGGATGTTACATAAAGCCAATGTTAAAGTAACTCCAGCACGTGCTATCTGACTGGATTTTGCATGGATGGGCAGATACTGGAAACTATCATCTGACCCTTCCAGCTACTGTCTTTCTCTTCATGGGGAACCACTGACCATATCTCAGAGGCTTTCACAGAATCCAGAAGGAGGAAAAGTCCCCCTCAGTGTACTTACAGAAGTGGAGGGTAAGCATGATTTGGACCATGGTCAATACACAGCTAAGAACGCCTGTGCTGCTGCTGTTGTCCTACAGTGGAGCATCTCATAAATAGCCCAAATCACTTGAGTGAATGAGATGCCCAGCTTTTTTGTTTCATAGGTTCTGGAACATACCTTGACTATGTTAGAAAGGTCTGTCTTTCTCCTGAGTCTTCCTATAAACATGGCAACTTCTGTTAAAGAAGAAGAGGCAAATGTTTCATATATTAATATTTTACAGTCTAAAAGACATTAATGAAGACAGATCTTTTCAGTCAGAAAGAAGATCCCTAGGGGAGCAACAGGCTAAGGGAGGGCATGGTGGGGCACTGAGCCAGCATTTTGGCTGGGCTGGAGACCCTCACAGTTTAAAGCTTGCAAGGAGAAGCTGCCAAGGTCATCACTCTTCCTTCACTGCAAATCTGTTAACCCATGACACACAGGAGAAATACTTCCAATATTTTTTACATTAAATACTTCTTAACTGAGACTAATACTCTCTTACATGTATAGTTTGAGGTGAGTAAAAGTAATGTTAATTCTAAATCTCCTACATTTTGCTTAGAGGGTTTACATTTCCGCCTTTATGTATCCATAATTCTGCAGCCCTATTAATAGGAGTTGGTTTCTTTGGCTCTGTTTTCTCCTGTTTGTAATATGTTGTGAATATGGCAAGCATGGTCCAAGAATACCTGTTTTAAGAATAAAATGTAAAATAACTGATTCTTAGTTACAGGAAAACTGAGTATAAAGCAACTTGGAAACTTCTGTAGGCAGGCAATGGTTTTCAAGTGAAAATTTCTGTTTCTCTGAAGTGTGTACAAACCAGAAAGACCGGGATGTATATACAAAGGGTCGCAGCTGATTACTTACATATACTTCCATGCACACACATGTTAAAAACATACTTACTACGTTTGCTTTGTCAAGCATTCAAATGTAAGAAATGCCAGAATTAAGACTGCAAGTTTTCCTGGAGCATATGAACGCTAATACAGTCTTTTGTCTACGCAAGGGTCCTATGTTGCCGCTGAGGATTTGGTCTTCACTCAGCAAACAAGAGAGCAACACTGTTTTTCAGTCAGAATCTTCAGCATCAAATATAAATGTATGTACGTGCATATTTACAAACATGCACATATACACATGCCTTTGTATATACTGATTTTTTTCAAATACATCTCTAATGAGAGTCACGCTTTCCTTATGGGAGTATGGCTTTTTTACGTTTATATTAAACTACACCATAGCAATTACTTATCTGCATAAAACCACTTGCAAGGTGAGAAGTCAGAGCAGTACTTAAATTTCAGAGGGCAGACTGCATATTTTTCAGTTATCTACACAGCCAAGGTGATCATGGCAAGAGGCAGATCTTTAAAAAGATTCAAGTACACTTTAATTTACCATGAATTGGGAATAATTTTGGCCTAAATTTGTTCTCACACATTATCTGAGACTGTTTGTTTTCAACTGTATCCCAACTAACTCTAGTCTTCACTAATACTGAAGTTACATCAGCTAAAAAAGTTTTAAAAATAATTTCTGTAAGAGTCTTGTAACACAATCTTCTCTGCACCTTAAGCAAAGATTATTTTACAAAAATCTCTCTATTTCTTGACCATACCTTTCGATTTGGATGTCTGGAGCGGTAACGGAAACTCTTTCAAAGCATTAAGCAGCCAAAGTTCAACATTTTTACTGAACAGTCTGAGGTACTGCATGTGCTCCACAGGCACCTCCTTCAGGAAATTGTGCATAAGGATGTCATCTATTTTCTAGAATACAGATGCATGGACCTGCACATGATTGGTGTACTACAGATATTTACAGCAGCATGAAAAAAAATTGTTTTGATAGTTTAAATGTAAAGAAGCCCATTTTTTTTCCTTCCCATTAAGAAACAGCTAAGCTACATTTATTAGCAGAAGGAAAAAGATCCTAACAATAAACGCTGTTTCCTGTATTAATTACTAGACAGTACTGAATGACCCAAAGTAAACAAGAAGCAATTTATTTTCATCAGAAAAGTGCATATTTCTATGTGGAACGTCGCAGAGAAACGTAGTAGTGTCCTGAAAGGAAAAATAACTCTTGTAATTTGGAAAACAGTTATTAGTTGAAATTTCAGTCACATGACCTCATGCCAGAACCACAGACCATATTTATAACAGCATACACCAATGATATGAGGGACTTTTGAAGCAATATATAGCAGGAAAATGGAAGTTATCTCAAAGTCCACTGTCTTCTTTCAAAATCCATACTGTGCTGCCTCAGAAGAAGCCAAAGAACAGATTGAGGTCTGAATGAAAATCCCATTGTACAGCACATGACAAACAGCTGGCCCTTCTCCTCCTACCAAAAAGACACAAACACACAATATCATAATTACAACAAAAAAGTGTGTCTACAGTACCTTGAATAGCTGCCTATCATAGCTTTCGCATAGCTGGCATACATCTGGCAAGGACATCAGTGCTATTCTTTCAGGTGGCAGAGAGCTCCAGAATGACATGATACAGTCTTTCACCTGCAATATGGAGTCCTTTATGAAGTCTCACTGATTTTGCACTTGTGAAGTGTGAAGCCTAATTAAGTAAAGCAACCCACAGAAGCAAAAGCATGGCTGTGGAGCTGGGATCTTTGCCTGACCCCATCCTGGCCAGGCTTCAGGAAAGCATGTGGAAGCATCCCAGGGCAACAAGCTGAACCTCGCAAGGCAGCGTAGGAAAGAGGAGAGCAAGAACTGTGCCATGGATATGTGGATATGATGGAAGAGATGTGTCCATGGCCTTGTGTTTTGTGCTGGGCTCAGACCTGCTGATGTGCCAGGAATGCTCAGGATATGCCTACAAACTCAAATTCTTGGAATATGTTGTGTTAATTAAGAAATCCTGAATAATTTGACTGAATGTTTCTTTTGTCTATGAATGATCATCTACCTTAGATCAAACCATCAAGTTAATTAGCTACACAGAAACGGTTTTATCCTTAGAGTTGCTTGCTGTTGTCAGAATGAGTATGCTATTAAAGCAAAGGCATACCTTGTGCAGTTCATTCCTTCTCACCACAAGTAAAATATCTTGACAATGGCTGTAGTACTCATTGGCAAGCAGCGCAACCTGGAGGAGGCAACCAAAAAAGAGGGTGCAAAAAGATGACACAATCAAAGAGCTAACTTGTTTTCTGAGAGAATACTTGAACGTACCTTTTCATAGGGATATTTCCTCTCTAGCTCTTGCTCCCAAAGATTGAATCTTCTGAATTCAGGCCAAGAGTACTGAAATCTCTCGTCTTGTTCAGTCTTCAGATAAATGACAGATGGAGAACAGTGATAATTCTTGCTCTTAGTACATCAGAATTTATTTTGAATAGTTAAAGAAAAAGATCACAATTATCTTGTCAGCTCTGTTAAAGGTATTAAATACTTTCTTGAAATTGTGTAACATGATTTTAAAATAAGATGTATTTCTTCAGAGGAATGCTTGTCCTTTTTTTTTTAGGAAGTAGGGGTGGATGAGAGAAACAAGCATGGTTGACTAAATATTTAAATTCTGAACAGTACATTAATTTCTGTTTTTTAAAAAAGTGAATATTTAATGCATATCATCCATGTATCTATTCTATAGCACTCATATCACAGTTGTAGCCTTCTAAATAAGGCTCTGCAGTTGGGGTGACAGCACATTTCTCAACAGCTGTCATTACATCCACTTCAGAGCACTCATTGCCACACCCAAGTGCTCTGTAAAAATAAGAAAAACATCCAATCTCTCCTTTTTTCCTCACTTTGGTCCACATAAGTTTGTTGCTCATGCTCCAACAACCCCAGTGACAAGCCAACCCCAACCAGCGTGCTTAGGGGAGAACCGCCACAGATGAGGTGCTCATCTGCCCTTTTCGGTGAGCAGGGGTTGCACTCTTCTTTCTTAATCCTTCACAGAATCACAGAATATTAGGAGCTGGAAGGGACCTTGAAAGATCATCCAGTCCAACCCCCCTGCCACAGCAGGATCACCTAGACCAGGTCACACAGGTATTTAAATACTTACCGGCCCAATAAACCCTGAGCGCATTGAAAAGACACCAGCTCAGCAGCATGAGGGTCTGTCACTTTGGGCCTTAGGCAAGGAAAGTTGTGCCCCACTGGCTCCCCTAATATTCAAAACCTGAGCTGTCAGACACAATTTCCACTATCAGGGCAGATAAAATTATTTGAGCCAACGTTAAGACAACAAAAATGTTTAGCTACCAGGTGAAATAGGAGTGAGGAAAGTAAGCATTTAGTGAGATTATTATTAAGGTTATTACAAACATTATTTTGAAGAAGATGACAGAATAACTGTATTTCAACAGAACATACTATTATACCAGTTCTAGTTAAACACAGAGATATACTTTTTTCTTTTAAGTCTAACGTATCTAAAACTCACCGTTCCGCTTTTTTGGCTATTGCTCTTGTAACCAGCTGCATCTCCAAAACTGCAGGTGTTTTTACTGTGGTAAAACATACAACAGAAAAAGCCCTTTAAAATTCTCACCAATTTATTCTCTACTCAGTAAGAAAATGAGCTCAAACTGAATGGGGTGCACTGGGCTCAAGCATTGTGTTTGGGAAACAAACCCTCTGTCAATCCTGTCGTGCAACAGCCCCGTGGTTTCCTAAGGAGACTATCGACTTCACTTTAAGGTAAAACTGAATAATTCATTATAAAAACAGTGAGGTATTAGTCATTTAACAGTGCCATGCCTTCCAACTTCTTGCATCAAAATCAAGGGTTTGTTTTTGTAGTTGCAGTTCATTTGGAATAGTAACAATAATTATAAACACATCAATAATGAAAACATAACCATCCTTGTGCTGTGATTACACAGAAATTCCATTTTATGCACCCTTTATCAGTTTAGATGGCTCCTTTTTTTTTTTTTTAATTGTCCCCCATTTACTTTGCGAGCTACCGTGATGTTTCACGTGGTCAGAACTCACCTGGACCTGCAAAGTCTTGACCACTGGCTTTTGGCTGAAAAGCCAGGGATGCAGGCACACCAGGCTGCTTTCTCACTTTACCATCACCTTCCTCTCTCCCTGCCTTTTTTTTTTCCTGAGGCTAATCCTACAGGAGGGAGAGGACACGTTGCTAGGACGGGGACGTGCTGCGAGAGTTGGATTCCTCCAGTCAAGCCCCCATCTGCTGCTGACACCTGCTCACTGTCTGAAGGCATCTCAAACTCCAGGGTCCTTTTGGACTCAGCTGTTTTGAAGGGGTTTTGGGCTTTGCAGAAAATGTGCTTGCACTGGTGACTGCCAGCACTCAGGCTATCTGATCAGATCCTGCCTGCTGGGGTGTGTTATCAGCCAGGCTACGTCCTGGAGGAGCAGAAGAGAAAACATAACAGCGTATCTGCTTGGAAATGCAAGCCACTGAAAATGCCTCCTCATGCTTCTCACAGGACTGACTCTTGCCACCTGAAAAATCACCTTTCCCTCTACCATGAAGGTGGTGCACCAGTGAAACAACCAAACTGGCTGCCCAAGACAGGGCACGACACTGATATTGGCTATGTTTGGTAACTCTATTGACTCTTTCTCCCAGGCATTTTCGAGTTGGCGGCTGGACAAAGGGAAGAATGTGTAAGTAGGAATGTTTCGTAATCCTTCTTTCCAATGAGTCCTTCCTGCAGCTTTCTAAAGCCTGTGAAACAAAATTAATGAATATTTTCCAGCTCCTGCTCTCCCCAAAAAGGCGGCCAGCTGTATCTTCTGCTGCTGCTACTATGGCAACACGTAACAGCATCGCTCTCCTCCAGTGGGCTGGCTCCCGTGGCAGGCTGACTCCCAGCTCCCCCCTAAGCAGGGACTGCAAGGCAAGGTGCAAGAAGCGGTGCTCGGTGATGATTAAGTGCAATACCCCCAGGACACTAACGTTTATGTGCTCCTACTGTTAGCAAAGGGGGTTTGGACTCACCTGATTCTCTCAAGGGTGCTCAGCTGAGAGGCAGAACTGATGACTTCCTCTGGAAAGTGGTACCTGGGTAAAGACAGGACACACAAAATAAGAGGTGGGTGGGAGAAGGGGAAAATGAGTGATGGTAAAATCACAAGGTGTTTCACCATGTTTTTTGCAGAGTTTGGATGATGCTGTGGGGAGGGAACTAGAGCTAAAACGGGAAATACGATGGTGGGAATGATGGAAAGACAGAGGAGGCAAATGGGAAGGACAAAGGAAAAATGAAAGGGGGGAGGGTGGCACATGCTCATGCTGTTGACTGTCAGATTACACTGAGATTAGAAAAGCTCATTTGCTAGAATCATATCAGATTTACTTTTATTAAAAAATAATGAGTTTGCTTCACTAGAAAGTCAGAAACCCAAACCTTCCCTATTACTAGAACCATAAAGTAACTATTATTAAGCCAGAATTCTCTGGCATTTTTTTCAACATTACTATGCTCCAAGCCTCCTTGATTTGCCAGAGCAAGTGTCATTTTAGGGAGAGCTCATCCTCAAAATTCCCATTAGTAGTGGGCACCCTATTGTAATGCATATCAGTAAAATACCAGATTCCCTTAAATTTGGATAGTATATTTGGAGACCTCACAGGGTACAGTTGTGTTTATTTACACTACTTTCATAACATCATCAGAGCTGCAGTACACATATCTTCAAAAAATCCAAGATTGTTAAACAAACCAACTCACAGGTGCTTTATAAGAGTATCCTCATCCCTCAAACTCAGCCAACCAACACATCTGAAGCCCCACTGACTATCAGAAGGCAAATGCCTTCTTTGTAGTCAAAGGCAAACCATTAACATCATACTGCCATTTCTATTACACCAACAAGCAAAGCTTCCAACCTGCCAGATCCTTCACGGGCCTCATTCCTCATTACCAGCACCATCTCAATTGCCAGCTATCTCAATATGGTCAGGAAATACTATTTTCAGTAATTAGAGAGAGTGGATCAAACCATTCCTTTCTTCACCAGCCCGCAGGCTGGGTGGATTCCTTAAGTCTCTCAGCTGGGCTCCTGACTCCACCTTGCCCTCAGGTAGGTGCACCAGAAAAACCATCTGCGTGTTGGACTCTGTCCAGGCATGGGAGGGAGCAATAGTTATTTGGGACACGTTCGCTACTCAAGCAGACATCCCCTGCCTCTGCCAGAGGGAAATGGCAACAAGCCAGAGACGTGCATCCCATTAGCAGGGTCTGGTCTGCAGACCAGCATTTGGACTGCGCTGTAACGGTGCATTAAAAAAATCCTCTTCACTATAATTTGGAAATTTCCACAACAACACACTCTCAAAAATTGAGATGTTGTTGGTCAAATACCCCTGCAGCAATACTATGATTACCTCTGTGAGAACAACTTTTGTTCTTGCAGGTAGACAAGTCTTCAAGTTTTCATTGCTTTTTTCTAAATGTCAACTTTCTAATAAAAAAAAACATCTAGAACTTGCCATTGCTGGTTTTATCAACTTCGTTGGATCATGAAAAATTAGTTCTGATTTCAGGAAGTACTGAACCCTACTGAGAGGATGGTAAAGATGAGGTATTTCCTTCATGTGTTCCTATTTATTTGCAAAGGATGTACAAAACTCAATACAGATGGAAACAAACTCACTTGGTTGAAGTTGCTGCTTGTTTTCTATGTGACCTAATTATTTCTTTCAAAGTTGTGCTACTCATGCTTCTCTGGCTGTGTTTTGTGCTTTTTTTTGCTGCTTTCTATCTGTTTTCTCCTGCTGTCCTTTATCAGACACTAAGAAGTAATTGTGACACCCAGCTGCCCAGGTGTTGTGGGCCTGCACATTGGCTTGGGACAGGGACACATGGCTGCATTTACAGTGGAAGCTGTACTAATTTCAGCTGTCTGACTTCACTCAGTAGCTCAATGACTTCTTATATCTATCTTAAATGAAAGAAACACCAGACAGGATAATTTTGTAGTCAAGAGACTTTTCTATTGCAACTAGAAAGGTGATCTTTGTCTGAATATGATCTTTATATTTTGATTATTTTTTTTTAAATCTGGAAAGTTATCCCAAGAAACTATATCAAGATCACTAGATGGCTGGTTGATGCCAACCCTTTCCCTTGGTTTGACCAAATTAAATATAGTTTTTTAGGAGTAGGTGTCTGGACAGGCACCTCTGACAGCTGGTGGAGAAGGAGGCAGAGGCCTGCGGCCAGTGCAACAGCTCCGTTATGGTTAAGCATGGGGTATACCGTATTCCCCAGCCCATCGGAGAACATGAGAAGGGCCAAGAACACAAGCTATGCTGACATACGTGGGCTGGACTTAGCCAACATATCTTCTTTGGTTCCTCCTAATTTTTGTAATCTTTTCTCATGTTTCTACACTGGGAGAAAAAAAAAACAAACAACAATTCAAATTGTTCTGTTCTCTCTCTCATCTCTTCTACGACCAGATCTAGCAGATCTCCTACTATGGCCAATGAGATTGCTGTTTTCAAGAGACTGCAGGGAAACATCTTTCTTTCCCTGAAGAAGAGAGACTCAGCCAGAGGCCTGCAATGTGCCTTGAACAGTGGCCAAGACCCTTCCTGATTATGGATTTAAAATGTTAGGCCTGTTCTGGTTATACTGGGTGCATGGGTAGTAAGGGATATCACTTCAGGAAGGGTCTCATGGGAAATGAGCCTTGAGTTGCCAATGAATTATTTGTTTGGTCTCACAACAACCGACTGTTGAACCTGATCCTCTGCCCCGTCCCATTCTTTACTGTTGTCACTCTATGGGCTTCTGCAACATGACTCTGCTATTAAAACCCGTGGAGAAAGGCAACAAATCTGTGGGTATAATTTTTCCATGCTCTTGCAAAGCATGCACGCAATTAAGTAACTATAACATAAAATGTCACAGACACGGAAATAGTTTCATCATCACCAGACTATCTGGGTGCTTAATAGGCTGACTTGTATCCCTCTGACATTCATGCTACAGAAAACTGCTAGATCTCCATATTAAAGAATGGAAGCCAAAGTACAGAATTTATCCATATACACACTAAAGTAACGTACAAGTCTGTAAGAGAGTGAGTATACAAGCTTGATTTCCAAAGTCCAAGGCATAGGCTGCACATGTTTTTATTCTCCTGCACTCTTAAAAGGAGTGCAAAATTCTTACGGAATGGCAGCACTCCCCTTCTTTTTTTTTCTGGGGAGTAACACAAGTCTGTGCTTTTTTCATCTTAGCCATGAGCTTAACCATAAGAACTCCTCCTCACCTGCCCGCAACTGGACCATGCTCATGTCTACGCTTTGGTCTGCCAGAGTATCTTACATTCATCAATTACTTTTAGACTTTTAATTTTGGAAGTCAGTTTATACTCATCTTATACGTTTTCTCATTGTTGTTCCCTTACAATAAGTGATTGTAAAATCTGATTTATTTTCTTTTGAGTGAAGGAAGTATTTTCAAAGTAGTATGCCTTACTGCTTCAAGTAGTAAAAAAACCCAGATAATATGATTGTGTGGGACTCTTCAAAACAGCGCAGTGATTTATACTTTTATACATGCCTCTTCAGCCTGCTGTTTAATGAGAAAGGTGCTACAATGTCATGAAGCAATTTCAATATATTTATTTGAGCTCCCATTTAGAGTCTCAATATATTAAGCTCTTCTTTTGGCATGGGTTCCTGCATCTACATGGCTAAAACATCCAATTCAAGGAAGTCCGATTAGGCAGGACATGTTTTAAAGATGGAGCTTCTCTATTAGGGCACAGTACTTAATGGCCCAGTACTTTTATAGTGTCTATAACAAGAATAGTACTGTTGTTAAGGTTCAACAGATGATTTACAGACTTCTATGTACAGACAATATAAAGACCATCATGTGACATTTTATAATTAAAACATTTAAAAAACCAAACCTGTCATAATTTTTTTCAAGCAGAAGAGAGCAATAATGGTTATAAAAGGAAGAGTTCTTCTTGATAGTTATTCCATCATAATAATACCTAGAAAATAAAAAATTATGAACTGACAACCACAAGATTTTCAACAAGCCATCAAACAATTCATATTCCTCCTTTTAAAGCAGATGATCATCCTATTTAAACAAGAAAAGATCAAGTAAAAAAAGCTACATTTGTTTTTTAAATTCTGTTTAAAATTTATTTTTCCCAACAGAAGATAAATGCAAACTCTTTTTCACAGTTTTTTTGCCCTGGAATGATACCTTCTTTTAAACAAAAAAACTTAAGCCAGTGAATGGGGTGCACCAGATCTGTACAGGACAGTCAGCAAAGTCAGGGACCAGAGTCTTAGCTGACAGAGGTCTCTGCATGGAAGTTGAAGGGCTTAGTGCAGCAGTGCCACAGCCATTCACAGCAACCTGGGACTGGGTGGCCCATCAGTGGTCACGGCAAGCTAAAACCCAAGAAACCCACCAGACCTTTGCTAAGGTTTTTCCTGACCTTGGTGAGCAGTGGAGTTGCCATCCCTGCCACCCAGGTGCTACCAGCTGGCTTCACCTAGGCTGGGCCATGGGGAAGCCAGGGCAGCAGTGCAGAGGTTTTGGGCCACCAGCAGCCAGAGGACAGCAACCTTCTCCTGATGAGGAGAGAGAGAATGGAGGCTGGGGACTATCAGGCAGCGTGAGGAGAAGCCTGGGAGTTTCTGCAGTGAGGCACTCCCAAAATAAAGGATCTCACTGGATCAAGCTGATAGCAAGTCCGGACTAGTGGGGAAATTCACAGATCAAGTAAGGGCATGTCATTCTTAAAGCCAGTACTTGACAGCTACTCAAAATGTTTATAAAATTACTGTGTCTAAATGCCCTTAAAACAACGTTTTTTCCAGCCTGGAAGTTCAGAGTGTGATTATAAGTTTGGATGCTGAATCAATGAAAGAGTATCAAACTCTCTGTGCTTTAGGAGAGGGAAGGGAAAAGAAAGGACATGTGGGAGGAGGGTCTGAGGTGATCTGATTTAAATGGTTTGAAACTGTTTACAATGCTTTCATTGACCACCAGTGCATGCTGGGTCACGTGATGGATACGTGCAAGCTGGAAAGCACAGCCATTAATCATGGCTGCCACCCTGTGCGCCCTGGAGCCAGACTTTACCGACCCACTGTCTCAAGAGCTCTGAGTAAGGTTGTGATGTCTGGCAGATGCTGTAATAGCCAGCACAAAGCAGAGTGCTAATTGTTTACAAAACAGTCTGATCTGGAATTCATGCCCTACCAAAACAGATACGATGTGGTGTTTTTTGTGGGATTAACTCTATTTTAATGTATTTGGTGACATCACGAATCACTCTGCATCCTGCAATGTATTACAGACTTGCAACCAACAGTTCAGCTGCTGTATTACCATGCTGGAGCTCAAAATTCAGCCATTTAAAAATTTTATTAGAACAGTTATAAATAACATTTTTAAACAAAGAAAGCAAAACCAATACCTGGCACTCTTTTTTGAGCACAGCCTTCTTCTCTCCAGACCCAGGAAAACTAACCGAATAAGCTAAAAAAAGAAACAGAAGATTAGAGATACTTGGCAAATTCATTCTAAAACACAAAAACATGTTACATTTTTTTCTACTTAATCACTTACTTGCTTTCCATCATTTGCAAGCTAATACCTGTTCTTGCATACCTTTCCAATGGTAAATATTGAACTCAACTCAGTTAGGCTTTAGTGGATTGAAAGCTAAGTAACTGAAAGGATTACCTCCCTCAGGTAGGAAATACCTCCCTCAGGTTTGCTTTACCTTGCAATGAAACACGCTCAGTGCGCACACCAGGAGACCACCCACAGCCAGGTGGGGTATACCAGCTAGGGGAACTCGAAGGTGCCATGATTCTCCCATAATTTGCCAGTCCTACAAGCCTTACTCATTTGAGTAGGGTTTACTCACACAAGGGACTTTGCCTACCCACTGACTTTTGCGAGGAGTACTTGCACAACAGGGCCTGACTTATCATTTTAAAAAGACCTGAATCATCAAGCTGCAAAACAACCTTTTGACCACCGCAGTGGTAAATGTGAACTGAGGTCATGCAGCATCTGTCAAGATTGGGTCCTACGGAATAAGATACTGTCAGGATAATGATCCACTTCACTGTGTTTATTCTGCACGAGCTGTCTTATGAAGACAGAGACTGACCCAGGACAGCTGGAGCTAACATTCCCTGCATAGCAGGAACAGGAGTTCAAGCACTCAACATTGGTGATGAGTGAGGGTATCCTCCACTCAGCAGCACAAAGCTTGGACTCTGTGCGAAGTGCACTTTGCTGGTCCAAGGGCCTGCTAAAGGACAAATTTCCTCAACTCAGGCTGACATGCACCTCCAGTTCTAATGATGTCGGAGTGGTTCTGTACTTTGCACATTTCTGCATGCATCCATCCCAGCTGCTCCCTTTCTCAAGCTGGGAGCATTTTAGCATAATGCTATTCTCCTAAAAGAACAGCCAGTAAAACTGGTGTTTATGTGACACAGAATAATTTGGTTAGAAAAGACCCTTAAGATCATCAAGTCCAACCATAACCTGTATACTACTAAACCATGTCTCTAAGCACCTCATCCACCCATCTTTTAAATACCTCCAGGGATGGTGACTCCACCACCTCCCTGGGCAGCCTCTTCCAATGCCTGATAACCCTTTCAGTGAAGAATTTTTTCCTAATATCTCATCTAAACCTCCCCTGGCACAACTCAAGGCCATTTCCTCTCATCCTATCACTTGTTACGTGGGAGAAGAGACATGAGACATATACTTCTTCCTACTGCCTCTTCTACAGCAACAGCAGTGTATTTGGGCAGAGGAATAGACAGATAAGATCACTAGTGTCTTAAATCACCACAGTTTGATTCACACAAGCCTTGTCTGCAGAAGTCCTTACCGTCTGCATGCTTGTAAGGTAGTCAGGTTACTACAGCTTGATAAATTAGTAATAGCTCAGCCCATTAGCTAAGCCCTGGTAACGGATTACACATGCACTTTTAGTTTAAACCAGGGTTGCTTTAAACCAGTTCCTGCCATCTTCAGCCTTTTACTGCATGGTCCCACCCCCTGTTGCAGAAGGACAGACCATTTCAATCATTTGGGGAGCTGCACCCCAGCTTGCTCTCTTGGGATGTGTTAACTTGCACCACAATGTGCTGGGTCAGTCAGGGCCATGGGCAAAAGGTTGCAGGCACCAACCTATAGCAGCTATGGCTCATCAGCTAAGCACTCCTGCGTGACCAGACTCATGCTTCATCCATGCCTGTCCCAACTTAAAATGCGTTAACTTAAACCACAAGAAGGCTTAGCTTACAGGTGGTAACTCAATCATGATGGAGCACCCGAAAGTGTACAGACAGGATGGGATTAATTTTACCTACATGGCTACGAGGTAGAGATGTCTCAGATAGTCACTGCAGACTCTGTAGTCAGTGGCGAAAAACAGGCAGTTCTGAGGCACATTTCATCTGAACTGCCTGAGATGACTCATTTAGGGTGAGAGGAATAATTTGTTACTGTTTATTCCTCTCCATTGACTACCAAGAGTTTTTAAGGTGACGAGCTTCACGGCAGACATCTACCCTAAGCCAGGCAAATTCTACTCATGGTAATAAATCATGCTGGATCTCTCACTCAATTCTTAATTTTAAGTAAGAGTGATTAACTTAGTAAAAAAATACTAGACTCAACTAAACAGAGATAAATGATTCATAAAATGAGGTTATCCACAACTTTTACTTAAATTATTTTGGTTTTATGTTAAAACAACACTTAGTAGCTCCTACCATGGGCACTAATAGAAGAATATTAGTGGTGAAAATAGGAAATTCTGAACAAAAAGTCTTGGGCAAGAAATAATTACGAGGCATTCTTTTTCCCATAATTTGTTAAATAAAGTTGAGTAGCGATGAGTGTTTGTTGCAGTTAGGATTTCTATGTGGTAATTGCTCTGTGGGTTGTATCAACCTCCATGTATTAGAAAGCGGGAACAGTTTGAAGGAGATTGGGTTTTACATCTGCATTTGTTCTGCTTGGGTGATTCTATAACAACTTTTTTAGTGTGCGTTTGGAGCAGGATCTCCCCAAGTATACTTAAAAAGAAAGTATAATATTATGTAACAACCAAAGGGGTCTTTTAAGGACAGAGGAATCAGCTCCTCAGGACTAGTTTATTACCCTTGCGCTGTTTACCCTGGTAAAGTTTTCTGAAATATACTGGCTAAAGCAAGCTTTGTTAGCGTAACATACACCAGTCCCCTGAAGAAAATAAACTCCACCACAAAGAATACTCTTTTCTCTAGTATAACATTGTCTACATGAGAGCTTACCAGAAATATATTAGAAAAGACATAAGCATAATACATTACATATTCATTCTTCTCTGTTATTTAATCTCTTTTGATATGCAGTGTATTTGATCATCAGATTTTCTGTTTAGGTATCTGTGCTTCTTATCTTATATATCCTATCTACTCTGTACCTTTCCAAAGGTGGGTGCATTTACTGGGCAATTTGGACTGCAGCTTTCCACATACAATTCATACAGTAGCCGACAGGGTACAGTGCATCCTTCACACAAATAGAAATTATCAGTTATCCTTTAAAACAAAAACAGCAATTAGTTTATGTCAGAATTAAGAGAAAGAATTGTTAGCTTGTGATTTTAATGGCTCATCAGGTTTACAGAGTACTCTGTAATAGTTACTGTGATGTCATAGAAGCACAGAATCAAAAGGAGAGCTACTAATTTTATGTTAATCTGCACTCTGAGAAAAAAAATATGCCTATATATATAGGCCTACATATATATATATTTTCTAGAGAATATGTATACATATATAATATATGTTTTTAACTTTTAAAGTTCTACTCGCCTTCTTTCCAAAGTGTAAGAAAGCTCATGTGAGACTAAGAAATTAACCAGATCTCATAATTTTTTAAATGTAACATTGCTCTTCTAATTAGAAAAGTCTCCACTATACCAAAGATAATAATATGAGCATTTTTCCATCTAAAATGTGGAATACGGTGTTTTGGGATGAAGAGTGCACATATTATGAAGGACCAAATTCTGTTCTCATACAGCCTCACTGATTTTAGTTCAAGTTTAATAAAAGAACAGACTTTTACTTTACACTTACTATGTAACAGAACTGTCAGGGCTGAAACTGGTTTAGATGATTAAATACTCATCCTTTGGCCAAATCCCTTACTCATCCTTACTTACCAGTATGGTCATAGTCAAGTAAATGCAGCTACTCATGTGAATAAGGTGACGAAGATGTAAAATTGTTTATTAGCCTAAAGTACTACCTTCACCAGGAAAAAAAGACCTTTAATTATGAGATAATGGCAATGGTTTTTATGTCAGAAGTTCATAGCCTCCTGTAGTACAAATAGAGGAGCAAAGCTGGAGCAAAGAAGCAGAGAGATTAATTTTCAAAGCGTGACACACTGATCGTATGACAGTGTTTTCTTACTGTGACTCTGCTTCCGTTATACCCAATGATTTATGCGTATTTAATTAATTTATCAGCTGAATGCTAGTGCAGCACTGTGCCAGTTACTCACTGTGTCTTTACTGATAATCGAGTCGGCTGGGAAAGCAGACTTTTCATAATCACCAGGCGAGATGATAAGCTGGTCAGATTTTAAATCAGCATCCTCTGCTTTATAGGCAGCCTGATTTCAGGCAAACCAGTATTTATCTTTCTTTATTAGCTGTATAGGCAGTAGATAGTGGATAAGGTCCTCAGTGAACTGACTTGCTAGAACAGACTGAGCGAGGCCATGCTGGCTGTGCAGCCTGATGTTGTTTACCTCACCTTTTATTCAAGCCCTTTCTCCAGGGAAGAAGGCTGACTGCATCCCTCAGCTTTCCCCCTTTCTAGCAAAAGGTCTCAAAATACCTCACTTTAACCTCCTTGAAGCCCGTCTTCTTACACAGCAACCCAAGAGGCTGGCTCTGGCAAGCACTGGGGCTGAGATGTGTCAGCTCCTCACCACCTCCAGCCCTACCAACCCATGGCAAGGGCTTCATGGCTAGACATGAGCAGGAACCTGCATGAAAAATCAAGGATCTGCTGTGCTAGTGGAGTATTTTCCATCACAGGGCTGAAAGGTAAATGAAATTTATTTTGGATAAGAGTCCTTACTGAGCTCTGCCTTCCAGCAAGCAGAAATGCTTGTTTCTTCCAGAGCAACCATCACAAAACCCTTCGTAATTGAGCAGTCCCAGAGGAGATTAAGCCTAAGTCCAAATTCATCCTTAATATAACACCACAAGAGTCACTGGAAATGCAGCAGAAATTAATTCATGCTTCAGTAGCTGGTTTCTGCCAATAGTTTTGCCTCAGCATTTAACTATTTAGGGATAAAATATTTGGCAATTTAATTTCATGAATTTTTCCTCTATTAAAATGCCAGCCGTTTTCAAGTAACAAGTCAAACCTATTCTTAGTGCTGACACATAATATTAAAATACTGTCTGTCGGGGGAAAAAAATCCACACAGAAAAGAGCATAGTGCCCATTTTCTTGCCTATTAGCCCTGAGGTTCTCAAAACCTGAGTATTTATGGCATTTATCAAAACAAAACTGTTCATAAAGACAACAAAATCAAAAGTAGAGTGGTAAGGGAGGAATATGGAGGTGAAAGAAAAAGCACATGGGAAAAGATCACCTCAATTTATCTGCTACTTTCTATCCACACTTTCCGTGGGGTTTGTTATTTGACCAGTTCTAGGACCTCACGTGGACTACGGGTTTTTGGGGTTTGTCACCTGTTATAGGTGAACCCTTGAACCAGGCCATTATACAGGTTTGCAAGTCAGCCGTTAAACCATTTCTGCCACAAAACCTGTTTTGCCATTATCAATGCACCAACTTTAAAAAGAATTTTAAAATTTTTTAAATGTGAAAAGGTGATTCAGATGTTTGTGATGAAAAAAATTCATAAGTTCAGCCTTTCCAGGACTGTTTGTGGTTCAGTTTTATGCAGTGTCTCAAACTTATTGGATGCCCTTGGATGCACCTCTGCCTGCAGCCCTTTTAAAATGGCGGTAGGGGTATCTGTATCACAGCAAAAGCACAGACTGACTCCCGCTGCTCAGGTATGACTGAGAGGGGGAATGAAAAGATTGAAGATTAATTACTGTCGAGTTAAAAGTTCGCTTATATGTGTTGCTACAGTTTCACACAAATTTTCAACGTTGTTTACTATCTGTACTCATCTGTGCTTGGGGAAAGAAGGAAAATAACCTTGGTTTCTCTTTGGCCGTCACATGGCAGTTGAGGTTCTTCTCAAACCACAAGAAAATGATGGTGACAACCTTACTCCATGACAGAAAGTATCTCACTTGGGAGTTCAACCAGCACCTTCATCTCAGGGAAACATAACCTCGGAGAATGTCACTCACTCAGCATCTCTCTGAACGCCAGCGTGCCACGGGCTGCTGTAAAAGCACGCCAGCCACGCATGGTCCATAGGATGGTCCTCACCATCATGTCAAGTGGATGGCAGCCAGCATCCAGATCCCAATGAGTAGGCTGAGACAAAATCCCTGCTCCCCCATGTAACAAACCATGTACAGGTCAGTAAAACTGTGTGTGGGAGATGGACTTCCACGGAAATGCCCCCACTTTCAGGGCACCGTTTATGCCCCCCCATGGTGACGGAGCCACAGCACACCAGACTTTTGTCCTGCAAAACTGCAAGAAGTGCTAAAGATCCTATTCCTGCCCTCCTTGTAGCAAGCCCACCCGGTAGGTCCTTCCAGCTCTCCGACAAGGCAGGGAGGCTGAGAGACAAAACCAGCGGCGCCACCACCCCCTCGCTCTTTCCCCTCCATCCTCAGCCAGGACCACCCCTCGGACCCACCCCCCCCAAAACCCGCCCCGCCGGCTGGGTCCCCGTCCGCCGGGAAGGGGGCAGCACGCACCAGCGGATGATGTCTCTATGCTGGAGGGAGGTGCAGCTGCCCTCGGCCATGCTGGGCGATGCCGGGCCGTTGGGTAACGGTCGGCGGGGGCGGGGGGCGGG